GGGCCGACTCGGATGGCGAAGCGGATCGAACCGGAGGTGGGTGCCTTGGAGCCGTCGGCTAAGTTGACCGGTTCTTCGGACGGCTGGATCTGGAGGCCGCGATCAGACAAGCGTTTGGCCATGGCGGCGTTCACAAACGACACTTCGGATCCGGAATCGAGAAGTGCCCAGGTGTTGAATCGGTGAATCTGGACTGGTAAATGCGGCCGCGGTGTGTACTCTATCTGGACGCGGGTCGGACGATGGCCGCCTCGTTTCCGACCCGCCGGTCGTTTTCCGTCGGAGGGTGGCAGTCTCGCGTTAGGACGCCATCCTTCCCGCACTGCGAGCAGAACTTCCGTGCTGGGCGGCGACAGTCGAGTCGTGTGTGCCCTCGCTGTTTGCATCGCCAACAGCAACTCGCACGGTCATAGGTAGTGGCGGCAAGATTCGCCTCGGTGGACCGTAATGTTTCGCGGCGTTGTTCTTGGCGACGCCGGTGGATTTCCTCCCACTCGGCGGCACGACTGCATAGCGCGGAAACGGAGTGCAGTTCGTCCAATCGAACGTATAGCTGGAGTTCCGGGTCGGCGTTTTCGTATAATTGCTCGAGCCGTTCCTGGCTAGTGTAGCCGCCAGCCCGACGCATCATTGTCTGTACGGCGGTAGCGTATCGCGTAAACGCCTCTCCTGGCTTCTGTCGCCGGCCTTGTATTTCCCGTCGTAATTGTCGTTTGTACCCGGGTGATAGATACTGGGCCAAGAAATCCTTTCGGAACCCGGCCCATGTGGACCACTGTTCTCTGGTGTTTCGCCACCACAGAAGGGCGTCGCCCTTTAACAGCTCGGACAGACCGGTGAGAAGATTGTGGTCTTCCAGACCATAGGCCACACTGAGTTCCTCCAGATGCTCGAGGAAAGCGAGGGGGTCCTTACCATCAAAATGGCATCCCCATTTGCGTATCTGGTTGAGGGCCTTAGCCGGGTCGGCTTCTGGTGGTTCGGGGGTTCCGCGTGCACTCCGGTAACGTTCTTCGCGGCTAAGCGGCGCGTGGAGCGTTTCGGCCGCTCCGGTGTTTGGCTGATTGGCCATTACGTGGTCTCTTATGCGGCGGCGGAGGTCGATTAATCTCCCTTCTGGGTCTAGATCGCGGGTGGCGAGGTATCGGACGGCTTCCTCTTTATCTAGGCGGTAGATCCACCCAAGCATGTGGATTGCAAACCGGAGTCTCAGACGGTCGAGTCAGGTCCCTGTTCGGGCGCCATGTAACGAAGCACCTTTCCCGACGCCACGGATCGGCTCGTCGGTGCCAGGATTCGGGAAGAGGGGAGACTCAGATTTACAATGACACACGGTTGCTCTGGTAAAAGTAGAGTTTATTCGGGGCCACCTTCCTGTGGTTCTCCCGTGATTCAAACCATTATACACAGCACAGTATAATCGGACGAAACGCGACCAGATGATACAGACGCGTACACGACTTATTGCTAGGATTGACAGATAGAAATATTACGGACGAGACGCGACCAGATTATACGGACGCGGACACGACTTATTGCTAGGATTGACGGATAGAAATATTACGGACGAGACGCGACCAGATTATACGGACGCGGACACGACTTATTGCTAGAGTTTCCAACGCGGACACGCGTACGGGCGCCCTGAGAAGGGCGAGCTCCGTCGGGCGCCGGTGACTTTCAGGTAGGACCCGGTGACCGAGGACGCTCGGCCTGCACGACGAGAACGCTCGTCGGCCGGGGTGATTTACGGACAGGACCCGGTGACCGAGGACGCTCGGCCTGCACGACGAGAACGCTCGTCGGCCGGGGTGATTTACGGACAGGACCCGGTGACCGAGGACGCTCGGCCTGCACGACGAGAACGCTCGTCGGCCGGGGTGATTTACGGACAGGACCCGGTGACCGAGGACGCTCGGCCTGCACGACGAGAACGCTCGTCGGCCGGGGTGATTTACGGACAGGACCCGGTGACCGAGAACGCTCGGCCTGCACGACGAGAACGCTCGTCGGCCGGGGTGAGTTACGGACAGGACCCGGTGACCGAGAACGCTCGGCCTGCACGACGAGAACGCTCGTCGGCCGGGGTGAGTTACGGACAGGACCCGGTGACCGAGAACGCTCGGCCTGCACGACGAGAACGCTCGTCGGCCGGGGTGATTTACGGACAGGACCCGGTGACCGAGGACGCTCGGCCTGCACGACGAGAACGCTCGTCGGCCGGGGTGAGTTACGGACAGGACCCGGTGACCGAGAACGCTCGGCCTGCACGACGAGAACGCTCGTCGGCCGGGGTGATTTACGGACAGGACCCGGTGACCGAGGACGCTCGGCCTGCACGACGAGAACGCTCGTCGGCCGGGGTGAGTTACGGACAGGACCCGGTGACCGAGAACGCTCGGCCTGCACGACGAGAACGCTCGTCGGCCGGGGTGATTTACGGACAGGACCCGGTGACCGAGGACGCTCGGCCTGCACGACGAGAACGCTCGTCGGCCGGGGTGATTTACGGACAGGACCCGGTGACCGAGGACGCTCGGCCTGCACGACGAGAACGCTCGTCGGCCGGGGTGAGTTACGGACAGGACCCGGTGACCGAGGACGCTCGGCCTGCACGACGAGAACGCTCGTCGGCCGGGGTGAGTTACGGACAGGACCCGGTGACCGAGAACGCTCGGCCTGCACGACGAGAACGCTCGTCGGCCGGGGTGATTTGGAGTGTGGGAGTTGAGGAGTGATCCCTGAGTACGCTCGAGGGACCAGGACGGGACTGGAGTCGAAGTCTCGGCTGCGCCGCTCTTTATACCCGTCGGCCACCCCACTCTAAGACTAGCTTGGAGGGGGTCGAGTGACGGGTGGGGGCGAAAAGGCGGATTCCCAACGTATTCGTGTGGTGGCCCCGAAAGGGGCCGTTTACACGAGCGCGGGCGACTAGTGACGGCTAATCGGGTCGTCACATTTGTAAGGCGCATAAATTCATATGTGTATGATATAACGAGGGCTGTCTAAAAAGTATCCGACTTGGAATTTTTCCGCGCATAGAAGTGACGCTAGGCCGGCGCTACTGTACACAGTGGAAAGAGACAGTTTCATACACATGCTTGAATTTTTTCGCGCCGTTTCGGTGAGCCAATCGTTGCCTACTGGCTGTCGGGTGAGATGCTGTTATTCGTGTTCGTCGGATTTTGATTGCTCTTAAAATGACTGAACGAGTTGAACAACGGTACTGCATCAAATTTTGTCAAAAGCTTGGTGATTCTCAAAGCGAAATAATGCGTAAGATTTAGCAGGTGTTTGGAGATAATGCTATGGGAGTAATACAAATTAAAGAGTGGTTCAACCGATTCAAAAATGGCCGGACATCGGTCGAGAGTAATCAGCGTTTTGGGAGGCCACAAACTGCTCGGAATGCAGCTGTTGTTGAGAGGGTAGAAAATTTAATAATGAGAGATCGTCGTTTGACCGTACGAGAGATTGCCGAAGAAGTTGACATCAGAGTAGAGACGAGATAATGCAGAATGCAACGGCGGAGTTGAACACCATTCCAAAAGAAACCTTCCAGAAGTGTTTTCGGCAGTGGAAGGAACGGTAGGCTAAGTGTGTGGAGGCCTACTTTGAAGGGGATTAAACTCCCAATCCCATCATGTACGTAATATATTTTTTACAGCCAAAGGTCGGATACTTTTTAGACAGACCTCGTATAATCACGATATTTTAAATTAATTATTATAATAAAATAATGCAAGTTAGTATATAAAGTTTTAATTTGTAATTTAATACATTGAAATATTAATTTATCGAACATAAACGTAATTATTTCCAATCGCTAGACAATAAATAGGTATATCAAATAATCGACCAAACTAGCAAAAATCAATTATTTATCTTCACGTCGTTTCGACCATGTGATTGTGGTCCTTATCAAGTGAACAATATTATAAAAAATAAATTAAAAATAATATTAAACATACAAAAATAAAATAAAAGTATAATAACTATTCCAATAACCACATATAATAACATAAAACTGCAAAATCGATATTCTAGTATAGCAATATTACTTACAATAAAGTCATAGAATTAAGTTCGGTTTCGTACGTGAATTTAAGACGTTTGTGGTAGTTAAGTAGACAATATTTTGCCTATTTTGTCAGTTGGAACTATAGAAAAAATGTGAACCAAATAATCTAAAGAACTCAAACAGAATGACTCAAGATCGTTCATGACTGTATCTGCAAAGATAGGGGATAACGGAGAACCCATCGGGCTTTCAAAGATTTGTTCGTAAAATTGTTCCTTAAAATAAAAACTGATCGATTCAAGAATGATTTCCACAGCATGTAAAAATTGTGCCAAATTAAAAGTTGTTTTTTCCGAAATATCGTTCCAACGTTTTTCGATTCCTTTTAAAACTAGCTCCTTAGGAATGTTAGTGAATAATGATGTGACATCCAACGATATTATTATTTCATTATCTTTAATGATTCTATCTTTAATATTCCTGGAGAACGACCATCCGTCACTGATGTACGAATTCGGTTTTTTTAATCGAACATTGCATAACATTGTGAATATAATTCGCAATATTATATCCCGGGCTATCAAGTGTCGAGACAATAATACGTAAAGGATATCTGTTCTTATGAATCTTTGGAAGTAGTCCATAACAACGTGGTGTATTATCGTTTGTACAATTCAGAAATTTATAGGTTTTATCGTCAATAAGGTCGTTCGATTGCCAAGACTTCAAGAGAATTTAATTTGTTAGCTGTAGAATTAATAGGATCTTTCTTGAGTTTTTTATAGGTGTGAGGATTATCAACTAACGCTTCCATTTTTTGTACATATTTGTTTCTATCTAATATCACCGTTGTTTGTCCCTTATTAGCTCTAGTGACTAAAATCTTCTTCTTATTAATAAGAAAACTTTTTTTACATACAGCAAACCCTCTTTGATAAAGAGATTTAATATAAATAATAAAAAATTGTATTAGTCAATATAAGTTGCAGGAATATTCTTTATTTGATATACTTTACAATTGTACAACTTGTACAATTGTAATCTACATTTCAGTTATAATAATACAACAAAATTTGAAAATTGAAACATTAACTTTCTAAAGTTTACTACAGTATTTGCCATTCCGTTTACCAGAGAATTCGTATTTATGTATCGCAATTTTTGTTCTTATTACTCTTTATCGACATAGTCCATCGTCTTAAGTTCGACTACGCACTGAAAGAATTTTTGGATCTTGCTCTGCGTGTCTTCTTGAAGACATACAATCTCTGCAATTAGAATAAAAAACTATTTAATTTTTTCTGAAATTTTATATTATTTTAACATACATACAGTAATAAGCCAAATTGTAAAGACTACTTTAATAATTTAAGGATATTACTTGACATAATTATTTTTATATATTAAATTTTTTTACGATTTATATAATTATTTTTCTGGAACATTTGAATAATAACAGATATTGGAAAATAAATTTATTTTTATTTTAGACATATGTCTAAAATTATATTAATTAATTATTATTAATTATTATCATTATTATTTTTATATAAATTAAAAAAATTTTAACTGTATTATTTCAAAACATAACTTAAATAATCTAAATAAAGGAGCTATAATGATTAAGGTGTTAATACATTTATTATTACGGATTAAAACATATAATCAAAATACTTTACATCTGTACGTTTCGACTATACAACAGGTCTTCTTCAATATAATTAAATATTTTGCATGTTAATTAATTATTTAGAAGTAACAAAATTTGGATATTATAAATTTGAACAAATAAAATTGTGTTTTAATCCGTAATAGTAAATGTATTGATCTAATCATTACTGGTTTTATAGTTGGCTTTTATTTAGATTATTATTATTTTTATTTAATTAATTTATATTTATTATATTTAATTTATATTGTGTTATCAATTTTTAATTATACTTCATTTTTCTTTATTCAACATTTTATTTAAAATAAAAATAAATTTTATAAACACTTTGAATTATATTAGAATAGATATAAATAAAGTAATTTAATTATGTAATTGATACCGAAGCATTAAATTGATTGATTTCGGAAAATAATTAAAGTTATCGAGAGATTGCTCATTATGAAATCGATGAAATAGAAAATACAAAATTTACTTAAATTAAAATCCGTAAGATACATTATAATATAAGAGTATTTTTAATAAAAGTAATATATAATTAATTATTCTTATTAATATAATATAATGTAATAATAATAACAATTATACTTAATAATGTAATACGTGTATCGGTTACCTTTATAGCAGTAAATAGTATTGATTAGGCACTTCGTTTGATTGGTCGGAGGGGTGACACTAGTGTTACACATTTGTATAATCTTTACTATATCGATCTCATTTTCGTTATTGATCTAAAATTAATATAAATTTATCAATTTAAACAACTATAAATTCTTAAGGAATCTTAATTTTAAAAAACGTTTTTCTCCTACTTTATGATCTTGACTTTGGCATAAGTATACTGCCAAAATTATAATTCCATCAAAAATTTTAGCGGTTGTTTATTGTTTATTGAAATCTTACACAAAATAAATGAAAATAAATAAATGGTATTGTTTGTACAAGACAAAAATTTCGATGTTATATTATCAAAATTTAATAATGTATTAATATGTGTGTGCACGTGTATATATTGTATGTACATATATATATAAAAGATATTTCCTTATTTTATGTTTTTATTGTAATTTAATAAAAGAATGCATTATTATTTTTTACTATTATTCTTTTTTTTTTTCTTTACGCATACTCATTTAAATGTTCAAAATTTTAATTATAAATTTTTTAATAACTAATGAACAACCGCTAAAATATATGCATATACAGTATAATATTATATACATATAACATGTATATACATATAATATCTTTGGAAAGATACATAAAATTAAATGTCATTATGATCTTGGGAACATTTGCAAGTTTTATTGATAAAAGAAGTTACACTTTTCTCCCAAATATATGTATATGTGTGTAGTATAAATGTGTTAAATATTTATTATAAAATCAAATATATACATACTGCATCGAATGCATAGCCCGCACATGTGAGCGAATCGCACGCTTCTGAAATGACAAATTTCACAATATATTATAGTTTAAAATGTAAATATTGACAGTTTGAGATTAAATAGTTAAATTGGCAGATCTATTTTCAAATCTGTTTAAATTTATATATAATTTGTAAACAGTATCATCTCTTGTCTTCTTTAACGTTATTTTTTTCAAGGTTTACACCTTATATTAATAGTATTTCTCTCTCACTTTACTGTTATAAATGTAATTACTCCATCGACTTATCAGTCAGAATGTCAATCGAAATCTTTTTATATTAGGAAAATATCTGTAGAATTAATTATACAACTGTTTTTGTAACAGCAATACGAATCGTTTCATTTTCAATATATTTCGATGTTCCTTTACTTCTTGATCATTCTTTTAATAATAATAGCACATTTTTCAAAATATTGCTTGATAATTTCAACATAGAGTAACAGTTGGACTTTAATTAAATAAATAATTAATAACAATTTATAATACTCGATAACTCGTGCGCTGCACGCGTGACTGGTTCCGTTTATCAAACTGTTAATAATTCTCGTGATGACAACTTCTCTATGAAAAGAACTATAATTATTTTATGAAAATAAAAGTTTCAGGTTGAATATTGATTTTATATATATATATATGTATATATATATATATGTATATAATCAATATTGAATCTGAAACTTTTATATATATATACATATATATAAAATCAATATTCAACCTGAAATTTTTATTTTATATATATATATATATATTTCACGTTGAATATGTACACATATATTTATTTATATTATGTATATATATATATATATATATATATATACATATATATACACATTTTTTTATATATTATATATATATATACACACATGTATTTATTTATATATTTTATTATATATTTTTATATATATGTATATATGTATATATATACATATATATATATATATTAATATATGTATGTATTATTAGTTTGATGATTGTGATTAGATGAATATTAGATAAATATTAATTTGAATGTGTATAAATTAGTTTAGATTCTTTTATTGTACATTTATCTTTTTTATAACGTTTTAAATAATGTTACTAATTTTATCTTTATAAAAAATTTAAAAAAAGTTTTTTTAGGTTGGGAAACACGTATGAAAGCTAATCATTTATTACATCTTAATTAATATCAAAATTGTTGTAACTTGATATAATTTAAAATTACAATTTTAATAAATAAATCTATTATATTGCACTCTGCAGAATATTATTATTTAATATTATAATAATATAATCGATTATATTATTTAATATTATATTAATAATTAATATCTTACCATTATCATTCATCTGATCATACGGTTTGTGTCCACATTTTTGTACACAATCTCGGAGCTCCGGTCCGGTTACGCCGCTTATGGATTGATTGCATTCGATTTTGCCGCTACCGGTTTTGTCGGTTACGCTTGTGCTTTCGGCATAAACTAACATCTAGAATCAAAAATAATCTACATTATTTTAAAAATTTCCAAAATATACATTTAGAACTAACATATTATAAAAGATTACTATTTTATGTTCTAGAATATTTAAAATATAAAAATTATTAAAAAAATATTTAAAATTTTAAATATATTTAAAATATATGTTATATTTAAAAAGGTCATTCTATAGGTACAATAAAATTCTTAAATTTATCGAAATTTTAATCATCAATAGATACGTCGACGTTCATAATAACTTATTTTAATTTAATCTTTTTACACGATTATGTCCGAGAGTATTATTACAAGATACATACGTTAAATTTTTTCTTTTAAGAGAAACATATTTTGATTAACACAGTTTTTATATTAAATGATAAAAATTTTTAGGAATTTTAAAAATTACATCTTTAATACGTATAAAAACATTTTAATTTAATAAAGTATAAATATTTAGAATATAAAATGTTCTAATTTTTAAATATTAGAAAACGTTTTTAAAAGATCTAGAAACAAAACTATATCAAATGTTTTCTTTAATAAAAGAAGAAGTATATATATATATATATATTTATAATTTAGAAGAATTTGGTGAAAGAAAAATTATACCGACGAGATAATTACGAAAGATATTTTTGATTACTTTAATGACAAGATTTTATTTTTAAGAAACAATACGAATATTTTAGACATCGTACGAATATTTTTTACACGTATTTTAAACTTTTCTAATGATGATAAAAAATATTAGTTCTTTTCTTTTTCATGCATATTTGCTGCTTTATACTCACCAATACACAAGCAACGACAAGAGTTTTCATTTTGTTTCTCTTTGTATATAGTATTGCCAAACGTAATGATTTGATCAGTTGTACTGTGACTCTTGGATTCCGTCAGTGATATTTATATAAAACAATTTTCCACCCTCCTTTCTGTCGCATTTATTTACATTATCATCATTCCTTCTGATAATACAGTCAAATTTGTTTATGTCGATATGTTTCACAATCAATGTTCTTAATATTATCTCGTCAGTCTCCCACTATTTTTTCCCACTACTTAATGATACCCATACGTAGAGAGTGAAAATGTCGTCATGAATAAATAGCGACATTCTTATTTTGCGCATAGAAGAAAAATATGGATTAAAAGAGAAGAGTAATAAATGAGAATAGAAAATTGTTTGATCTTGGTTCATAAAATCAAGGTTTGTTGGGTAATTTTTAAATCTTTGAGCAACGAGTATCAACGAACACGTGTTTATACATGTATATGATGATGTATAGGTATAGAGATAACGTTTGTTTTATTTATTGATTTTCAATTTTATTTTTATTTTAATTTTTATTTTTTTTCTTCGTTTCTTTTCATACCACTTAAATAGAGACTAGGAAACAATTTTATTATAATTTTTATACACGAGTAAAAAACTTGGACAAATTTAGTACAAATATTGATAAGTGATACAGTGATACTATATTCATGAAATTATATGCTGTTATGATAGATATATATTTGGTGAAAATGTTAAAAAAGATTATATGGACACTTGTATACAGAGTGGCTTATAATAATTCCATCTCTCGTATGCAGATAATATATGGATCGAACCAAGTAGGAAAATTTTCTATCATTATGCGATTTTCGTAAAATAATTAATTAATAAAGAAATTTTTTTTAAAAACGGCTTCAATCTGATTTTATTTAATTATATATTTACTGTCATTTGACAGATATCAGAAACATTTAAAACGATCAATTTTCTGTTAAAATTATTTGTAGATTTGATTATATTTTGGGGAAAACTGAAAAAATTAAAACAAGAAAGTTATTATTTATAAAATTTTTGGAACGAAATTTTTAATGTTGTTTCGTAATAAGTTGATAATAAATTAATTTATTATAGGTTCTATTCTTTTTACGAAATTGTTGATATTCTCTTAATTCTTGGGTAGTGCAACGAAAATTGAGAGAACTATATTTCGTTTATAATAGGTTTATATCCATGATAAATTTTCTATTACAAAATAATTTATTATATTGTTTACTACAACGCGATCTACATATTTTTTCTGTTATTGCGCACCACAAATCATAAAAATAATGACAAAATATTGTTTTTGAGATAATTGTAGTGTACAATATATAAATTGTATTAATACAAGACACCGTGTTTATTTATAATTATATATTTGAATATTGTAATATTTATAATATTTATAATTATAAGTTTAAAATAGTCATTTTTATTGGTGAAGAATAGAGATTTTTTTCATTATTTGTCTATTAAAGCATCGACATAAAGTGTTGCTGAAACTTCAACCCTTTACGATTTATTTGTAATTACATATCTTTATTTTGATATGTATTTAACACTGATAAAGGAATTTTAGAAATGCGCACATGTCGAAGATAAAATTATTTGTTATTTCGTATTTTGAAAATGTGCACGTACCACAACAATCGATAATGCAAGTTTTAATACCTGTGTTTATGGTAATACTCGGATTTTGAATTATAAAACATGACGTCATTCTTATATACACATGTGCGTACATTATTAAGATGGATTCTATTTGAAACATGTAAACACGATAATAAAATATACGCCGCAAATTGGTACCATAATCTAAACATTATATTATTTTAATTAATTATATTTGCAATAAATTCGATACCTAATTACAATAACTTATCATTATTTGTACGGAATATAAATTAATATGTGTATGATATATAATCACGATATTTTTAATTAATTATAATAAAATAAAGCAAGTTAGTATATAAAGTTTTAATTTGTAATTTAATACATTTAAATATTAATCTATTGAACTCGATATGGATCAATTTTTTTATATAAAAAATGCTGTAATCTTTAAACATGAATGTAATTGGTTTGTTCATATTATATTGTTTATTGTCGAACGTTTTTTTATATTTATTGTATATTCGAGAAATTTCATCGAATTTTTATAAATCATAATTTCAATTAAAATATGTTAATAAGAAACTAATGAAATATCAAGTCTACAAGCACGCTATGAAAATAGTTGCAACAATCTAAATTATTTTAAATTTTCTTTTTTAGAAAAATTGAAAAAATTTTTGTTTAATTTAGAAAATCTTTCACAAAATCTTTATCTATAAAATATTTCCCCACCACATGGCGGTTTTAATGAAATCGACTTACATCAAAAATATTTAAACCAGAAAAAGCATTGATAAAAAAATATTGATTCTCTTTAAGCGTTTCCTGATGTATCTAAAAAGCTTCGCACAATCGAAGGCCGATACTTTCATATATTTCTTTGTCACTTCGTTTCGCGACGTTCGTCACAGCTTTTGTTTTGGCTTGGTTTTGACAGGTAATAAGCATACAAAAGGAAAAGTACGTTCGCGATACACTGGCAATTTAAATTGTCATCTGCAGGCACACTGCACCTGTCGCGAGAGAGAAGACGCGATCTCGAAATAGCTCGACGTATGTTTTGATCTCCGCGAAACGAATTAATATCGTTTATTGAAAAGTTGAAATCAAACTGAAAGCCATACATGAGAGAAATAATTTTATTATTAACAATACAATTTTTAGACATTATTATATATATAGTAATATATTATAATATACAAGGAGGATGGAGATTAGTTTCAATTTTGATTATTTTTACGTAAAAATCGTTTGAATTATATTAATATATAATATTAAATAAATATATTAATAAATATCATAATATATATAATTTAATATTATTTATAATAAATAATATTAAATAAATATATAATAAATATATTAATAAATATTAATAAAAATTGTGACTACATAATAATTACTATACATTATAATAATTAATATATTAATGTTATTGTGATAAATAATAAAGTAACATAGGAGGAAGAAGAAATATACAGTCTCTTATATTTTAATGTGTTCGATAAGGAGCGTACTAGGAAGCATGAAATCAAATTTATCGAAAGTAAATCGAATTTGCCCATGTATTTCACCGCCGAAAGGTTTAACGAACCATAAAAGTCACTCAAAGAGGGTAGAAAGGAAGAGCGTATATGGATTATATTGCCTAATTCAGTACGATATCTCTTTTAGAATTTGAATTTAATTTCAACTCATCAATGACAAAAATCTATCCTGCAAACTTCCTAAAAAATTAAAAATTACAAAGTAAAAATTAAATTTAACTAATGTTTAATAATTCCTATTTACATGGTGCAATCATTCTTTTTCTCAAGAAATTTTATTTAAAAACCGCTAAATATTTATTTAAGAAGAAACATTAAATATGTACAATTTTATTTAATTAATTTAATTAATAAAAAGTATTTAAAGAGAATTTTATACCTCTAATTTTATTATAAAAATAAAGTACGAAAAATTATTTATTTAAATTAATTATGCCTATAAATATGTATACATATATATATCTTATTTTCATAATAAAATTAAGGATATACATTTTTCTTTATAATTTATTATTAAACTATTACTACTATTATTTTATATATATGTAATTTTCAATGTTGAGAAATCTGAAAAATTCTGATGAATATATCCAATTTATTTTTATTCGATGCTCGCTATTGGAAAGGGAGATCGCTTTAAAGGGCGTCGATTTTTCGGTCCCTTTCACGCACGAAAGTAGCTTTTTCGGCATGGTCACAGGTGCACTGGTCAGAGTACAGGCGTTTTCCCAAATTACCGTATTATAAATTACAATCGAATACACATAGATTCAATTTTTAGTTCAATGATGAAGTCATTTATTACAATCGAAATCGACAAAGTAAATTTCAGGGGAAAATATATTTTCAATAAATAATTGCAATTAAAATTGTATATAGAAAATTTATTGCATATTAGTTATGCAACAAAAATTAGGCGAACTCTTTAATGTGAAATGCAGAAAATTACAGAAAATGCGAAATTGATAAATAATATTTATTATTACAATAATATGTTTGATGAAACATTCAGTAATCTATAATATTTATATCAACAGAATTTATAAATTAAATTAATAAAATATTGCAACATTTTTCAATGCCATTTTATAGTATAACACAGTAACGTGTTATATCAACTTTTGCTTTTCGTATTTTGCAAAAGTACGAAAACGCTGATAGACAGATTCATCGGTGAATTGGACAGTCGTACACAATGAATATAACCGGCCCTTTCGCGCGTAAATCTGCGACTGTCGCTTATATCTACGCTGCTGCACGCTCGAAATTAATCGTACGAATTGCGTTTGTAGCGAGTTCGTAATACTAATTACGGTTTGTCAGCGCACGTGTCACTTCCACCGATGTAAAATTGCATTTTCACCGATACACACACATGAAGTTTTAATAATACTGCCAAACATCGTGCAAATTGCAAATTTCAAAAACGAGTACATTTACATACATATAGAGTAACAGATGCTTTACGTCTCTAAAAATTGTGAACGACAAAATTAAAAATAATATTTATTTAAAAACGAATAAAAATTCGAGACGGGAACATTTTAACATTTATTATAAAAATAAATATATTATATTGTTTGTTATTTATATATTTTAATATTTATTTTATATTTTATATTTTTATTTTATATTTTATTTGATTGTTCATTTTTTTTAATACTTATTATTTTCATATTTTTATTTTATTTTTATTAGTGTCATATTATGGTATTTTATAAGATATATGTTTTGTATTCTTTCGATTAAAAATCTTAGATTTCTATCAGATTTTAAAAAACGTACAGCAATATTTTTAAGACTTTATTAAAGATAAAGAACACTTTATTAAATGTTACACGCAAACGTCAAATTGATCAAGGATTTTACTATGAGTAACACCATGAGTAATACTCATTATTTTTATATTTATA